CTTGCCTACATTTACGTAACAGATCTGCGTTGGATATCTTGTCGGGCCAGAAGATTCTGAGGATTTGGCGTAAGCTGGTTGTATGAAAGGAAGATAGCTTGGCACGGTCATGATCAGTCATCCTCCAGCATTCAGCTCCATATAGGTGTGTGGATAGTACACAGCTGTTATACAGCTTTAAAATAATACACTTGAGTAATATATACTTCATATTCGTGTTATTATTTGCGGTGGAATCAGGCTCAATTTCTTGACATGTGGAGTTATTGGTATCATCTAGAAATTGAAGCTGATCATACCCATCTATCTTGAGTAGAAGTCAAGGTATTTGCGATTGAAAGAGGTGGGGGTCGCCTGGTGACAAAATTAAAACTAGAGAGACAATTATCCACCAAAGTTTGGTGACTTCCCAAACTTGAGTGTCCTAGGAATCTGCAAGTTTACTCTTTTTTCAATAAAATCCTTCCAGAAATGTTTTTAAATGGACATAAAAGGTGTTGATCAAACAAAAAATTCTATAAAAGTTATCCACTTTGACGAACGCCTGGTTTCACTGTGATGCCACATATTTGGTTTTCATAACAAACCATTGTGCTTTCTTTCCCCCTCCATTTTCTAACTCTGATAAACAATTCATACATGAGCTTCTTCTCAATATATATTTTTTTAATGCCAAAGAAAAAATGACATGCAAAAGAACAAATTTCAGATTTGATATGTTTTTATTGATATATTTGTGAACATTTAAAGTGACAAAACTTAATCCACAAGTTCTTGTCCAGGTCAAAACCATCCACATAGAATGTTCATCATTATTGGAATGACAAAACTACAAAAGTATAATTATGAACCAATTCACCAAAGCAAAATATGAGACCCGACCATATTAACATATAGGCCTACAAGATTTCCATTTTTTACCAAGACCGAAGTAATTAAATTCTCCTTAAATATAAGAAAAAATATATCTGAATGGAATAAAATATAGTTTTAAAAGGCTATTATTATCAAGTGTAGCAATTAGTGTAGTCAGAGTTGTGCGGCAAGCTCATTTAGGCATAATATTATGACCTTCTGAAAAACTTTGTGACCATAAAAACATCTAGCACAAACAATAAAAAAGATAAAGAAAACTTCAGTTTTGCCCTTCCCGATAAAATGAGAGATGTCAAAAAACAATGAATATTGTAGGTGCTTCAATTTCCAAATCACACTCTAAACCTAAAACTAAAATAAGCTCTCCAATAAAGAAAATAAGCAAACAAATGAAGACCCTATTCACAAAAAAGAGAAGAAATATACTATATATAGGATTCAATTTCAAAGGTGACCGAGAATCTTTTACGAGAATATGTGCAGTAATATTAAATTGTTCAAGAAAGCAATGTTTGAAGAGTAATTTTCTTCCATTTTTAATAACTTAATTAGGTAATTCCAGACAACGTATAAAAAGTCACTGGGTTTAGTTAGATAGACTTCAGACTTACATTGGTGCTGTAATAGTAAAGGCCTTACGGCAGTGAGCACAAAAGATGCGAGTTCAATTCTCACATGAGAAAGTCTACTTTATCCTATATCTCTATCTTCTTGCCGGAATGTATTATCCCACTAAACCTGGATTATTCCTGATGAGCAGGGTCAAAGCAGCCCACTTCCTACATAAACTAAATCTGGTCAAAGCAGACTTAAAACATTTACAATTAATCAATCATGTGACTCAAGTTGGGCAACGTTTATTAATGTCGCATATCAAAAGTGCATCATTGTTTGAAAAAAGAAAATAACAACATTAACAATTACCATCCAACAACAAAGACAAAGCTCTCAAAACTGAAACAGTTCAAAAAGTCACTGGTGACATCAAAACTCCAGAACCACCTAACAGTAGTAAATATTTAACAGCAATAAGTATACTCATTTTCACCATTTTTATAAAAAACAGGATTTTCAAATGACTTATCTAAACTTCAGGTAAAACATTCCACCGTAAGAGTCTGAAGACCTTTGTAAACAATTTCAATTGACACTGGAAAATTTTACATCATATTTTACTCTCAAGTCCATCATCACGCTTGAAGTATATGTTATAAACATGACATAAAGCACAACTATTCATATTTAGAATCAGTTCATCATAAGACGTCTTTGTTTTTCTTTGCTGCCCTTGAGAAAAACCAGATACAAAATATGAAACAAAAGGTTTAAATATATGAACTTTAAAAATCTTAATTCTATTCTATTGAGAGAAAGGGACGTGTGACACTTGAAAATATGGGCTTCAAGGACGTTGGGGTAACAATTTTCATTGCACAATCTATATTCTGGAAAACATTAAGCATTCTTTCAATGACATTTCTCAATCCGTTTTCCCATTTATTTATTTTTTTTGCTTCATAGATTAATAAAAACCAACACTTTCATGGGAGAGAAAGGGACAAGTGACACTTGAAAATATGGGCTTCAAGGACGTTGGGGTAACAATTTTCATTGCACAATCTATATTCTGGAAAACATTAAGCATTCTTTCAATGACATTTCTCAATCCGTTTTCCCATTTATTTATTTTTTTTGCTTCATAGATTAATAAAAACCAACACTTTCATGGGAGAGAAAGGGACAAGTGACACTTGAAAATATGGGCTTCAAGGACGTTGGGGTAACAATTTTCATTGCACAATCTATATTCTGGAAAACATTAAGCATTCTTTCAATGACATTTCTCAATCCGTTTTCCCATTTATTTATTTTTTTGCTTCATAGATTAATAAAAACCAACACTTTCATCGGAGAGAAAGGGACGTGTGATACTTGAAAATATGGGCTTCAAGGACGTTGGGGTAACAATTTTCATTGCACAATCTATATTCTGGAAAACATTAAGCATTCTTTCAATGACATTTCTCAATCCGTTTCCCCATTTATTTATTTTTTGCTTCATAGATTAATAAAAACCAACACTTTCATGGACTGCAAATTCTAAATGTTTTTCCAAGACAATGTAAGAATTAAAGGACATTGCGCATCATCCTTCAAAAAAAAGAAACTATGTAACACAGCACAATAATTAGTTCATATTTCTCAGCTTAGCCAAGAAAATTAGGGTTCCTGTTGAATTTTGAGAAACATACTTTTCCTGTACCCCAACAACAATAATTCAGAGCAAAAAAACTCTCTACCGTTATAACTCAAATAATATACCAATCTTTCTAAGTAAGACTGTAAACCTCATGATTGTCTTTTTTTTTTAAAGTGAGATTTATTCATCATGCTGTTAACACTATAGCAGAAACTGAAGACAGTGAATGAAGTTGTTCCCACTGACTATGATGTCAATCAAAGTGAAACTTTGAGAATCATTCGGCTTTGCTACATAGGCTACCCATAAACATCTTAACAAAACTTGTCTGAAAGTTGTTGTTTTTAAATTATCTTCAAATCTCCCTGCCCCCCTCCCCAACCCTACTTTCCCCTTTTTCCCATCTCTCCAGACCTAAATGGACACCAAGCAATGATAATTAATTTGTATACCACCACACAAGGTTACGTCGAGATATATTTTGCATTTACCTGTATCAAAACAATAATAATATGGCACTAGTGCAACAAGTTTTGCTTGCAAAATATTAGGAAGCAAGCTTGTTCTGTCTGTGTCATTGCATTGAATGAAAATATATATATGTCTTTGCTTTGATATGCTTCAGAATCATTATTAGAAAAGAGAATGATGATGGGGCCCTAATTAGATGTTCAGCCTGGCACAGCGACAAATCATAACTAGAATCTGGCAACTGATACTGAAACTTGTTTAAGGGCATTGAATGATGGGCTTGGATACCTAGAATGCTTGTAACCAATAAATCGAGATTATGCATTTGAAAATATAATGGTGTGATTGTTATAGCTTAACAAAATTATTCTGAATAAGACAAACTTGAAATAACAAATTTAAAATTCTGTACTCTCTCAAGTGATTGATGTGCATGATTCATATGAGAATGTCAAGCAATGTCATGAGATGATAACTTTCAAATGGGAGGTCACTAGGGTACATCTCTGAGCATGTCCTAGGTAAATCTGCTCAGAAGTAACAAACAGTGGTGAAACTGCATTATGAACTTGTTACTGTTAACTCATATACAGGGGAGTCTGCTTCAACTGAAACTGCAGGAACGCTGGATTTTCTTCAGTTTAGCTGTGTCTTTGGCTAAGAAAGGAATGCTCAAATATCAAAGATTGTTGACAGTGTAGAGTTGAGAATGCCATGCTTATTGGTAAATTTCACTTTTTGGAAGTTTATTCATATCGACCTCTTTCAGTAACTACAATCTGAGCTTCAGGCCTTATGCATTGTACTTTTTCCTTGACATTTTCCACTTGCTTCATTTACCAAACAGTCACACAGCACAGACGAAAGAATAGATAGGGAAGTGAGAAAGAAAGCCCAATGCTAGTGATGTCATGAAATACAACCCGTGCTGTCACATTGTCATGTGAAGGGTCTAAGTGAACTGTGAACTAAATTCACAAAGACAATAGGTCTAGACCTAGATATAGTTTGTTGGCCCATTAATGTGTGTGATAGATAAGCATAGGCAAACAAATCAATGCCCCTCTCTAGCCTGCAATCAACGTACGTGCATTTTCATGTCTCCTTCTTCTGTTTTGCTATCTTGGAGTACATAAGACTTGATAATTTGTGTTACCTGAAGATTACTCATGAATATTTTGTTGATATACCCTTCAAAGTTCTTTTCCGTTTAGAAATGGGAGCATTTCAGCTGATATAAAGTTTTCTTAAAAATACAAAGAAGGAAATAAATCAGGGATTTTATTTTCTTTTGGTTCGCTGTTTTCGGAATAACTATATTCGATTTAAGTGGACTCCTCTGTTTAAAGTGATTTTACATCACCAATATGTCTTTGTAGGCTTATACATCACAGTAACACTAATTACCATGTAGGATAAATAAAGTGCCTATTTCTTTCTTTATTTTTTTTTCTTTCTAAAATTTCCGGCCATTTTTTAAAACTCTGATCCTTTTAAACCTCTCCTATTACCTGTTAAAAAATACAAAAGTGAGGTGACAATCAAAGAAAAAACACCATTTCAACTCAACAAGAATAGACAATTCTTGAGAGTACAAATACATGGGACAAAAATCCTCAGTATAGCATAAGAACTTTCACTTCACTGTCTACAGGAAGCTTGTTTCAAAGCTTACTCTTTCCATAGCTAGAATATCTGATTTAGACAACACTGTAAGGCAAACAGTCAAACAATTTATGGATACATTTAAATATTTCTACAACATCTCTTCTGCTCAGTGTGAGACTCTGTCATAAGTCGCTTTTCAACTCGAAATCCTTGCAGCTGAAATAGCTGAACATCAGGAAGTAGTGATGAAGTCCTCAAGATCATAAGGAGCATTCAGTCAACAGGCATAGCTTCCAGCCCAAATATGTTGGCTATTCCTGCTTTAGACCTTAGTGCCTGTAAAAAAAAGAAAAAAAAACAATGTAAAGATTCCAGACATGTATAGCAATGCAAAACATTAAAGATTTATTCAGTAGAGAGATCATTGTTTAAGAGGACCTGACATCAATTATAATTATCTCACCTAATTGAAAGCAGACAGGATTCTGAGAACAGTAATAAAAACTAGGGCATTCCTTGGGACTATGCCTGAAAGTAAGTTGAGCCATTATTCTGATAGAGAATGGTTAGGTAAAACTGCAAAAAAAAAAGTACAACTATTGTTTGTTCATTTTAGTAGAGGTTTTACAGCGCTCGCAACTGCATAAGGTCATATGAGCGCCAGAAGATTAGATGTGTTACAAGAGAGTAACAAACATAAAAAAGAAGAAGGGGAGATAAGGATGACAGATGTTTGATAGGAAAGAAGAAGCAAACTGCACAAGAGCACCCACCAACCCCCCACGTACAACTATTATACCATAACATTTTGCTTAAAATGAGCACTTTCAATAAACATAAGCAGGGTATTAGTAAAGAAATAAGTCAAAGGAAAATGTACACAACAGAGACAAGGCATTTTCAAACTCTGATTAAAATCTACAGTAAAGACAACCATAAGGCTTTTAAAGAAATTTTAATAGTAAGCTGATGACTTCACACCTCTGTTACAGAAAAGCCTGCTTAGGTCTGTTGATACTTTGCCAGGTGGCATTGGTTTTTAGCTTTAGTAACAGTTTTACGGCACTTGCAACACAATAAGGTGTCGAAGATTAGAGGTGTTACAAGAGAGTAATAAACATAAAAAAGGAGGAGTGATAAAGACAATAGTTGTTGGATAGGAAAGAAGGAGCAAACCACACCAGAGCACCCGCCAACCACCCATGACATTGATTTAAGTCCCTAACACTGCTTTATTGAATTTAGGCTGTTTGGAGAGTTTGAATAACTCATTACATTCTTGGACCAGTCTTGCTAGAGAATGGATGACAAATTCAGAGGTGTGGCCTCTGAACTAACTTACTTTGTTTAACACTTTTCCCCACTGGACACCAGTTGGCAACGATAAGAAGCCACCACTTCCCTCAACAGTACGCCAATCAGCGACGTTGTGATATAGCAACAAAAACGTTGTAGCAATGATCTCCTTTTTAAGACTCGCGCACTTGTAAAAGTTGCAATTTTCTGTCTGAACGGTTTGTGTGGACTTTGAGTGCAAAATTCAGTTTGTTTACAACTGGAGTGAATCTCTTTCTTTTTAATGTCGAGCAGACCTAGCATTGGTACTGCTATACACTGATGACATGATGAGGATTTGGGTGATGAATGAGGTAGATCTAATTGTTTTAGTTCCGATTTTAATTTCTTTTTTGGTGGACATGCGATTGTTAAGTTTAATCTTCTCAATGTGCTGAAAATTCCATAATGATTGGGACATTTTTTGCAGAAATACAGGTAGGTATAGCAGTGATGTACCCCATCTGCATACTGATGCATGAGGACAAAGGTTTTGTGCTCTGCACCCTGGGTGAGTGGAAGGTGTTAAAGAGGAATTAAATCCATACGATTTCATACCCTGTTGTCGCAGCTATTGATCCCGGAGCCCAACGGCTTCCCTTGCCCTTCATAAAATGGTTAAAAACAAGTGCACAGGCACTGTGTAATAGTAGGTTTGTTCCTAAAAAATACAACTTGGAAAATGTGTCTGCAGCATTCTCAGGACTTGGTCACCAAAATATTTAATAACTTCACTGAACTCTGCCATGCAAATTTAATGAGCTTTTAAAGACTTTAACACTTTTATCTAATGAATTCTTTTTTTGGAGACCCCTGCTAAGAATGCATATTCCCCCTCTCCCCCCCAGTTCCATAAGTCTGAATTATCTTTTACCAATTTATAATTAACTTGACTGACCTCCAAAGCCTTCAGCATTTTCTTGTAGGCCTCTTTGTCCTTCTTTCTCGTTGGATCCTCCACACAGTCTTCAATTTTCACTGCAACATGGATTCTGTGCAACTGGCGACAGTTTCCTACAACAACAAAAAGGACATAATTTTAGTCAACATTGACAGCATCCGCAGTCATACTTCACATATTTTGCAAATACTTTATACATTTTCTTCACTTACGCAATACATTTATGGTCCCCAATCAAAGAACTTTACAACGTAAACCACGTCTCTTTGTTTGAGGTTCTTCTGTGTTGTCCTGTGGGTTTGAAGCCCCTTACAGCACTGAAAGGATAAACAAATTGACAGACTCCAATTTAATCATTATGATCTCTGATCTAATCAAGACAAATGAGAACTAACAACCCCCCTCATCCCCTCCTTTTCAATCCCCTCCCCTCAAAAATAAAAACACCACCACCTCTCCGCCACCTTCTCTACAACACACCTTGTACAGTCAGTAGTGCTTTTGCCTCCACAAATGTGCCATGGATAATCAATATCTTCAGGTTCTTGAGGCCAGCACGAGTCAAGGCCGTGACAAGGTCAGCCGTTATGGGCAGACAATGGTCAAAGTGCATGGTGCGAAGGTGCTGGCAGGACTGGACTGTAGACACAGAAATAAAACATCTTGTTTTTCTTTGGGGGGCATTTCTGTCAGAATCTTAAAAGCAAAACTAGAAACGAAATTTGCTTCTCCCTACAGAAATTTCTCTCATGATTGCATGTATACAAAACCAATTTATCCATTAACAGTAAATAATAGTGAAAAGCAGTAGTGATATGTCTAAACAAATACTAGCAATTATTCTAAAAAGTCTACATTTTATTACCTTGTGATTATAGCCCTTGTTGCTAAGTAGGCCATTGTATGACAAAAAATATTAGTTGTAGTGAGTGCAAAAAGGTTTATGTTCTACACTCTGCTTTGTCATTCTCAGTGTTACTTACTGAAAAGAAATTTCTGCAACATTGCATAAGCTATCTGAATCAGTCACTGAAACATACACAAGGAGGCCCATTCACCCACCTAGAGGTAAGAGACCAGCCATATCAAATTCTTTGCCACCGAGCCCAATCTCCTGGAGGTCTCTGTAGAACTGAGCAATCTGCAGGAGACATCTGTTGTTCATAGTGCTGGTCTTGATGCTGAGAAGAACAAACATACAGCATGATGCAACACTGAGAAACTGCAAAACAGGTCATACATTGCTGGGTTTTGGGGTTCTTTTTATTTAACATGAATGGCTTTCACATTTCTAAAAACGTATGCTTGTCATTTATATTAACATTAATCAAGAATCCTACTGAGATGAATATTTTTTACATTGAACAGCTGAAAAAAGACAAGTGACGCTGTGGTTAGAAAGTTGAAATTTCTACTTTCATAAACTGATAACATGAGTGCATTCCAAAAGTAACAAAGAGAGTGAAGAAATAAGAACAACTATGCTAAACCACTATTGTGCAACAGGTTGCCAATTTGATCTGTAACTTGGAAATTGAGATTTGAATCTGAGTGGGGTTTGAACACGGATAGGAGACTGAGACCCCTTCTTTTGAAATGACCCATCTATCTTGACTGTTTAATGTTAGACTCCTTGATACACCATTTTGAAAATTGACATATTGCTACCTCAGAACTACGAAGTTCTATCTGAAATTTTTGGCCGTTTGGAGTCACCAATACCATGAGATCAAAAAACAAATGCTTTATCTGCTCTATCAAAATCGTAAGAATATTCAGAGTGGTTATCAAGATATTCAAAGAATTGCATTGGAAAAAGATTGACACATTGTGAAACTAAAAATTTTGACATCAAATTTCTCAAAACTAGGTATTGAGCAGATAAAACTTTGTAATTCTGAGGTAGCGATATGACAAAGTCTTACACTGAGCAGTCGCTCAGTTGCATGTTGCTTTAGGTGGATGTTAACATTCAACACAGACAAAAAAATTTAACTACCATGGCTGCAGAGGTTGCACAAAGAGAGATGTTATCCCAGGACAGCCTCCGCCCAATGCAAACATCAGCTGTCCACTGGCATGGTCTATTCGACTCCTGTAGGTCAGCCGAGTCAGCAGACGGCAGTAACCACTCACCAGCCACAAACACCTGAGGAGAGAAAATGTCAGCTGATTACACTGTGAAAAAGATACAGTAAGGTCTGATTAAATAGAATACATTTAATCCAAAAACTGCAGTAAACTGAAAAATCACCAATAATCACCAATTTTTTTCTTTCTTATATTCAAGCAGCCTTTCTAAACCAAAAACCCTGCTAAACCAAAGAAAATCCGACGGTCTCACAGATTTTGATTTAACTGGACTCCACTGCATTATATCTTAAAAGAATAAGCTGACTCACTTATTAGTCAATATATCTAACTAACTTACATATTCGTTATATTGAACTAGCTTACATATTAGTGAGTAGGAGCCGATTACGTATTGCAGAGTATATTGATCCCATCTACATATCAATGTGTATATATTGAACTAATTTACAAATCAATGATGAAAGTGAGCTAATTTACTTTCAGGAAGTAAAATGAGCTCACACACATTGATGAGCATATTAAGCTAATTTAGTATACTGAGCTGAGTTATTAAAGTTATTATACAAGGGAGTACATTCAGGTAACTGGCTTATGACTGACTGATTATTTATGTTTTATGCCACCAATAGCTAGATTTAGATTATTTAAGAGGATGACTGCATCCATTCTGCCTGGCAAGGCCAACCCGAGCTGAGAGGGGTACGGGATTCCACCAACCTAAGCTGAGACTGATACAAAATCCAAACATATATACAGAGATACCCAATAAAATACTTTCCAAAACAGAAATCAATATCACATCTTCTGCATGCAACAGCGAAGAGCCTAACTTTCACATTACAGTACCAGCTTAACATTACTCTTACAAGTCGTAGGCTTCTTCTCTATTTTGTAGCAGCAAGTTTAGTTTAAACTATTAAGCTATACATGGGAACATAGAGAGTTTTCATCGTAAAAAGATAAGTTTTAAGCTACAAGTTTGTATTTCCAACTAAAGTATTCAGAAAAAAATGAAAAGTTGATTTCAAGAGGATAAATTTATAGTACAGACAAGCAGATATTTTATTGGTATGAGGAAAACAAGAAAATACAATCAAGAATGCAGCATATAGTCAGTTGATGTATCGACTTCTAAGATTTAAGGAAATTGAGCAAACGTACTTATCAGTGAGTACATTGTCACAGTCCTCAATGTGGAGAGAAGTCAAGGTATCTTGGCTAGCAGATAGCACTCTCTCCAAGCCTTGTTCCAAACTGCCCCTATTGAGAAAGAACAAAATGGATGACATTGCATATTATTCTAAACTGCCGCTAAAGAGAAAGAACAAAATGGATGGCATTGCATGTATTGCTCTGAACTGCCCCTTATGAGAAAGATCAAAGAGGATGAAACTGCATTATTTGCATATTGTTTTGAACAGTCACTATTGAGTAAAAACAAAATGGATGACATTGCAAGTTCAATTCTATTGAGAAAGACGTAGCATACATAAAACAAAAAGGCAACATGATTTCTCACTCTGAACTACAAAAAAGCATTATTTGGACCAGATTTGGAATTAATCATATTGAACTTTTTGGTGTCATTGACAAAACCATGGTTGGCTCTAAACTAAGATCAGGCTTTGTGTTCATGTTACAGTTCAACTCTTCTGTTTGTGGAAAATTCTTTAAAAAAATAATATCAGTTCTTGAGGGTCATAAGCAAATAACAAATCTTTTAAATTGCAAGTTCTTAATCAGAGAAATTGGTTGCCTGAGATTGAGAAATATGAAAAAAAGTGACAAAAGATACATAGAGTAGGTATAATAATTGTTTTAGCATAAACTAAGTGCAGATAATAACATTGTTACAAATATCAGCCACTAAGTGCAGATAATAACATTGTTACAAATATCAGGCACAACATTACAATCAAAAACATTTTTCATTCGTAACATTACCTGGTGGCTGCAGCAAAACTGTCAGGAGTTTCATCTGCAGACATAGCTCTGCTTCTCAAACCTGAAGCGAAAAAATTGCTTTCCTGAGAGACTGAGGGAAGACTGCTGATAATCTTTGGTCATTTTTATGTAAATTTTCTAAAAGACACTACGATAGCCATTAATAAATAAGTGAAATGAATGCTCTCTTTTAATTCTTTTTTCTGAATCATTAACCTATTGCACATGACAAAAGACACAATAGTTTCACCTTGAAGACTTTTTTTTTGTTTATGACTTAAGATCTTGAATCATCAAGACAAAAAGCTTGAAGTGAAACTTAACACCTTTAACAAAACACAAATCTCATTTGTGACAAAAAGGCTACTACATAAGACAGGCTGATTGTAAAGAGAAACAAACGCTTTTTTGAAAAACAGTATCAGAACCACACTTCCATTAAATACATACATGTATCTGCCGTGTGTCATTTCCATTAATTTTCTCTTCCACTTACAATATTCATAAAGAATGCATAAAATGGTCTCAGGTTACAAAGACTAAGAAACAAATAGAAAACTCTGCAAAGCTGCTAACAGAAATACTTTTCAAGGAGCTGAGTATTACATAAGTCACTTACATTATTTGAAGCCAAGTTTACACATTTTATTCACAGAAAGCATGATAATCAGTTGTTTCTCATAATAAAATACTTGTATAACAATTATATCATTTTGAAAGTTAAAGGAACCTTCTTCCAGTGTTTACAACTATATAAACATTTAAACAACCACATTACAAAAAGTACATGCAGGTAGTCAGGGGGAAAGGAAAGAGATTACAAAGGACAGACCTTGCTTGACACAAGCAATGTATCAGGTTGGTGAAAAATTACATCATGACAAACATGGTTAGTAGTGTGGAAGTCGTACGTTTGAGGAAAAGGTGTTAAAGAAACCAACAACAGAGCATGATTTTTAGAAAAACTCTTAGATATTCTTTAACGCTTTTCCAAGCACTGAACAAAATTTTTCTTTTAATGGATAGTCACAACAAAATAAAAAAACTTGTGATGATATTGAACAGCAGCTTGAGGCAAGTCATCATGATAAAAGCTCTGAAAAGACATAGAAGGAGCAAACTACATGAGGGAGCTACCATGTAACACGTTGCTTAGAAGCTGAACAAAGACGTAGGACATGCAGTTAAGTTGGGAAGTGTCATCATTATCTCTATTGTGAGAGTGGGGCCAATGAAGCAGACAACATAATCTGAAAAACAAGCTTTGGCAACGTGAAAAGTTCTACCTGTCTTTTTTCACAATACCGTATCTAATAACACACAGGCTTAAAACAAATAGAGTAATAATACCAGTGTTTCAATATGAGTTACTTAGCCCGCAAGATATCATTGAGTAACAACATAAAAGCATTAGCTGCTCATTTTCATTTTCTAATTTAAAAAATGTTAAAAATAAAATCAAAGGCAAAATTTTGTTTTAACCCAAGACAGTTCAATTAATCAGCATGCACCAAACAAGAAGTAATGTCACAACATCACATATTTATCAAATCAAATGCATAGATACTTCAACAATACTTTAATTCTTAATCAAGCCATTTCAGACAAAGACAACAGATTCATACATTGATACTGGTTATGAAAACAGGGGAAAATGAAAGATACATGTACCCCAGTCTCTATAACAGTTATAGTACATGGTGTTTGCTTCACTCCCATAATCTTTCATCACTTCGTCTTTCTTCATCATGCTTATCTGATGTTTACCTAAATGAACTTAACCGGTATCATAAATTCACTTGGTGACATCGGTCTGTTTTACTTCTATCCACTTGATGCCACGAAATAAAACATACATCATGTCCACAGAGAGTAAGTACATGTAAATGTATGTACAAAGCAGAGGGAGACTATATGCTCATATACATAAAACTCAAGAGTCTGTTTAAAAAATAGATTATGATGCTTTTAATTTTAAAACACAGTATCTTAGGGGGAGGGGAAGGGGGGAATGAGGAGGGATGCCGGAAATTGCTAGCAAAATTAGAGAACGCCAACAAACCATAATATGTTTATGCAGATAAACACACCACTTTAGGAAAGGGAAAGGGACTGTTCTCTGTGACAAGTTGTGGTGTTTGTGACCATTGCAAGCTGCAGGCTATAATTTCTTTACTTTTCTCTCTTTTCACTTCTTTTTATCGCATCACCAGGCTATCTACCGCGTACACAAACAAAAGGTATTACTTCTCTTCCTCCTTGAACGTTAAGTAAAGATCATCATCATTTCATGATGGACTAACATTTATGCTACTGTACCTTTACTTTGAAAAACTGAGTTCACACAGCTTGAGACACAAACATCTGCATAGACTTCTTAGTGTTTCTAAAAAACATTTAACATTTAGACACATGCCCAAGTCAAACTGATTATAAATACACTCAGTGAGTAGCACCCCAATCAATATCTCACCATGCATCAGAAGCTCCTGAACAATCATAAGAAATTCGGACAGTTAGTTCAGCAAGCTCATAATAGTCAAGCACTAAATATAAAGGGGATTACATAATAAAATGTCATTAATCAAGGAATTTACCGAATAAAAACTATCTATAACTACAGTGAAAATTCTGCTAAAGAAAAGGTGATTTGATTACGTTCAAGCTGAACTTTAGAATAAAATTATAGACCCTACAGTAGTAAACAAACAGAAAAAATCTATGTGATGAATTAATTCCATAACTAAAAAAACAATCTTTTCTTGAAAAAAAAGGAACTAATATTCAAGTTGTTGCCGAGTAGTTCTACACATTCCGTCATATGACAAGAGTCACATGACCTTAGGTACAGATAGAAATGACAATAACAAGGAAGAGAAGAGGAATGCGAAGACCATAACCAAAGAGCACCCGCCAGCCACCAATAGATTCCAATGCTGCTGAGGTCAAACCAAACTTGAATAATATTTGAAGCCCAAACAACAACTCACAATGAATCATAATGCTAATACCGCACCAGTCAAATTACCATAATCACAATCAGAGAAAAGGTGACTTGATTATATTCAAGCTGAACTGTTGATAAATATTTGTTACTTTAGCCTCAAAATCTTAGTACCACTTGTGCAGGGTCAAACATTTAAAAAAAGAACTGAGTATTCATAATACAGTGATCTTCAGCTAAAAGCTTGTACCTCGCTAACAAGAAAAGCTTGCTCTTACGAAATGTGCCATTATGTAAATCTCGAAGACCAGTAAACCAGTAAACCAGTAAACCAGAATGAGTATTCTGTCATCTGATCTCCTACAGTGGGTTGCATTATAGAACTGAGCTCACCCCCAGAGTGTTAAGTTTTCCTACTTCAAGCGATCACAGACAATGACCATCATAATTCCAGAATAGCTCTCTCACAATCTCTGCCCACCACACCATGGCCAGTCAATAGCTTTCCTTATTGTGTAATTCTGCCTCACACCTTGTCCCTATACGTCCTTTTCTCCAAGGCACACCATTAATTTCAAGTAATAAAAGAGGGCACATGGTGTTTGCTTCACTTCCATCAGATCTAAGCCAAAGAGTCATTTTACGACTGATCTGTTTCTGACACTAGCACAGGATTGATTGTGCTACGGAGTTCTCAATCTGGTATGTGCACTTAAGAGTGATGATAACAAAAATTTTAGTTCCCCACTAGTGACGTGCTTTACTTTAAGGCAAACCATGCTTTTATCTGGCATGCTATTAGTCGGAGACCAATGTACATGTACATTTACACTCTTGTCTGAATTCCAAGAAGACAAAGTCTGATGAGCTAAGAAAAAAAATCAACGAAAAGATAAACTAGTACATGAGTTCCTAGTGAAAGGAATTGCACACAAACACATACACACACACACACACACACACACACACACACACACACACACACATACACACACACACACACA